CTAACAGAACCACACTGCTAACAGGACCACACTGCTAACAGGACCACGTTGCTAACAGGACCACACTGCTAACAGGACCACACTGCTAACAGGAACATGTTACTAACCGAACCTCACTTATCAGTAACAGTGTGTTTATAACACTATTTTTATAGCTTTTTATTGCTGTGTACTGTTGTCTGTCTATGTCTTCTGTGACATTTGTGTTTGTACTGATTTATCCTACTTGCACCGTTGTATTGTACCACATTGTTTACTATTTTTCTTTTGGACCTTGTACATGTTGTATTTCTTTTACAATTTAGGTGGTCTCCAGCTACAAGAACTTGGGTGTGCACCTGAACAACAACCTCAGCTGGAGCAACAACACCACCAGCCTGATGAAGAAAGCTCATCAGAGACTCTACTTCCTCAGGCGGCTGAGGCGAGCTGGTCTGGAAGCTCAGTCCTCACCTCCTTCTACAGGTGTGCAGTGGAGAGCATCCTGTGCTCCAGCATCAACGTGTGGCATGGAGGCTGCACAGCTGCAGAAAGAAAAGCTTTGCAGAGAGTGGTGAAGGCTGCACAGAAATCTGTTGGAGTCAGTCTCCCCACCATCACAGACATCTACACCTCCAGATGCAGGAAGAGGGCCACCTGCATCATGAAGGACCACACTCACCCAGCACACATACTTTTTGCCCCGCTCCCCTCAGGAAGGAGGTTGAGGAGCATTAAGTGTAGAACCACTAGACTGAGGAACAGCTTCTACCCTGAGGCTGTTAGACTCATGAATCTCTAACCAGAATAATCACTGTGAAAAATCACATCATGTTGCTGCTGATCTGTTTCATGTTGCTGCTGATCTGTTTCATGTTGCTGCTGATCTGTTTCATGTTGCTGCTGATCTGTTTCATGCTGCTATGCTCGTTCGTGTTCATCTGCTCACACAGACTCATGTTCGTGCTGCTGTTCTGTGTGTTAGTTTTGTAGTATTAGTGTTTAGTGTATATGTAGTTAATGTTTTTCTTAGTTCAACATTTTATTGTTGAATGTCACTGGGACCCTGTGAACATAATCTGGTTCCACCACATGTACCACATGTGATGTGAATGACAAATAAAGAAACTTCGGTGTTTTGTATTTCTTGTTTGGTTGTTTTGGCGAGTTGAGGTGGTTCTTGTCGTCCTGAACGTTTCATTGCACCGTTGACCTTGTGTTGACCTTCATATGACAAATCAACAATAAACACAAGCTGTGTGTTCATACCTGTCCACTACACTGGCAGGTTTGACCCTGTCGATCACTATGACTTGTTTGTTCCTGTGATTTGCAGACGTCAGCGTGATGCCCAGTGTCGCTCCTGGTGGTTTGGCAATCTCCACCAACAATGGACCAGAGGCGTTCGTCACTGTGTCTGACGAAAAATAAAAAGTATACTAAATAATTTTGCTGTACAGTGAAGTTGTTTCCTACTGCTTCATAACTGTGTCTGTTCTGGAGCGTAAATGTCCCTGCAGGTTTGAGTCTCACCCATGATGGTGACGTCGTACTCGATCTGGAACAGGGCCTCCTGGCCGCACTGAGCCAACACACTGAGGGCGTCACTGTGGCTGGCGTTGTGCAGCGGCACGCCGTCCACACTTAGCAGGCGGTCACCTGGACTCAGCGTGCCTTCTCTGGACACACAAACAAAACGAGCTTTAAGTAAAGAACCCAACAAGGTCAAAATCTGGTCTAATGTTTGAAGTTTATGCACTTGTAGAAGTCTTTGTATCACATTCCTAAAAGTTTCTCAACATGTCACTTGTCATATTTCCTGATGACCAACATGAGATCTGCTTTGGAACCTCTGCCTGCAGCTGCTCAACACAACTGGCACTTTAATGGCTTGTAAATTGCAAAAGACCGCATCTGTTCATTCATTTGGATGTTGTTCTATATTCTGAAGAGATTCATATTAAAACTAATTTAACTTTAAATCAATCATTTTAATTTGTATTTAGTTAAATAAATCGACAGGGATGAGTCTTTGCCTCAAGCAGAGAAGTTTTAGTTTTTCTTTTAGATCTATTTCAAACAGAGTGAGAGCTGGACCAACAGATTAAGGCTTTGTTCATAGTAATCAGGGTGTTGCTCCGTTCTGTTGTAGTGAATAAGGATCTGAGCCAAACCATGGAGCTCTGTTTACTGAGTTGTCTGCTTTACAACCTTCATCTTAGTCATGAAGTATGGATTAAAAAAGAAACAAGATTCCAATACAAGCAACTGAAATGAAGTTTCTCTGCAGGGTGAGCAGGATCATCCTTAGAGATGGTGGCTGAGGAGATCAGAGATCTATTACACATCTAACAGACATTTTAAAGCTCACCTCACGAGCACTGACTTGTTTTGGTTTTAGCATCCATAACTGCTTTAATTAACAAGGTGTTGGAAACATTCCTTCAAGATGTGGACCCATACTGATACGATGCCAGCTGATCCATGATACCTGATGTTCATCTTCCGCTCCACCACATCCCAAAGGTGGAGCCTGATGGAGTCCAGTGAGTTCAGACCAGTGTATAAATGTTTTTATAATCTTTTTCCAGTGTTGACGAGTCTGGGGAGTGGCTCCACGTTGTGAGAACTTAGTTTCATTTCTTTAGCTGGTGTTTCTGCGCCCATGCTGCCAGATCCTGCTTCACCTGTTCTCCATCCCCATCACCCCAGGTGTTCATCACTGTCTCATCAGAGTCCCTTTAAGTTCAGCGTCTTTGTGTTTCCTCATTGTCTGTGGATTGTGCTTCTCTCAGCCATGTGTGTTCTGCTCCTCCGTTTGGTTTTCGATCCTGGATCTTTGTAAGGTTTGCTGCCACGTCAGCCTTTCTTTATTTTTCTAATAAATTAGAATCTTTTATTTGACCTTTGAGTTTTCCTGAGTCTGTCTGCACTTGGGTTCAACACAGAACATGATGCAGGGTTTCTGCTGCTGGAGATCATCTGCTCTAAAGTGTGAGGTAAAGTGCATTTAGAGATGGTGTTCTGCAAACCTTGCTTGAACAGGTGGCTGTTACTTGGAGCTTTTTGTTATCTGGACCCAGACTTCTCGTTGTCCTTTAACACATTTTTCCTCCACATCTACTGACAGGATATTTTTCTTTTCATGACCATTCTTTTAAACTCTAGAAACAGTTGTGTGTGAAAATCCCAGTAGATCAGAAGTTTCTGAAATAAAGAGAGCAACAACCATGCTGGCTTACTTTGATCCGATGCTTGGGTTGAACTTCAGCGGGTCTTCTCAGATCTAAACGTGTTGAGTTGCTGCACTGTGACCGACCGATCGGTGATTAGTTTGAAGAAGAAATTGAACACATGTTCCCAATAAGTGGTTCTGAGTATCCTGGAGGGGCTGGAGAGGTGGCAGGGAGGTGTCTGGGTTTTGTTGTGGGCCTGTTCTTCTGTGATCCAGTCTTGGAGAAGTGGTTAAAAAGAATGGAATAGAGATCATAGCCATCTTTGATTTCTCATCCTTGCTGTTCTAGAAGGCCGAGTCAGGTCCTCTGGAGGGATTCTCATGTGTTGAAATGTGTCATATTTTATACAAAAGACTTCTTCAGTCTCATTCTGAAGAACTGATCAGACTGAAGAAGTCTTTAGGATAAAAGACAAAACCTTCCACTAAGAAGGATCCGTCCAGAGGACCTGACTCAACCTTGTGAAATTAATCTCCCTGGATTATTGAGCAGCATCAGAATAACAGTTATTCAAATGACAGAAAAGTCTCTTATTTGACTGGAAGAATCAAAATGCTTCTCTTGTTTCAGACCTATTTTTCCTAAAGCTTTTACAAACAGCAACACTCATACATTAGATCATTATTTCCCAAAATATGAAGCTGCAGCGTTCTGAATTATTGATGCAGAGGGCTGATAGGAACTGTTTGCATGCAGCCTCCAGTGAGTAATACAGAGCTGTCATTGTATCAGCCGACGGTTTTTACCATCTCGATGGAGCCAAGCTGAGACTAAAGGAGGCGTTAGAGCTGGATTTAGGTCACATGACGGAATTATTTTAAGACAGATGTTAGCAACAGCCTGAGCAGTTTTCAATACAATCATCAAAACAGGTTAATGATGCTAAACCATCACTGAGACTCTGGGTGGACTTTCACTGGGTTTAAAAATGAATATTTATACAACTCCAACATAAATGCCTCTGTGAAGCAACAGACCTAATGAATGCGGTGACATTCAGCCTGCTTCAGACCTGCAGGCTGGCTCCTTTCTGTTTCTGATGAGGCTCTGGAAACAGGTTTTTGTGGCCGTGCATAAAAAGCCCCGTGGCACTCGCAGTCTTTCAGTTGGTGCTTTAATTCCCACTGGGTGATGCTAAATATGTAGGTGCTTCTGAGTCTGTATGGTGCTGTGGATTAAGTATTTTCCAAAAGGCATATAAATGGCACATAAAGCAGCATGAATATCTCATTCTCCCCCCGGAGTGACCCACATTCTGAGGACGAGTTCCTTTAGAAAGATGTCAAATGAGCTTCTGGGCAAAATAACTCGATAGTAAGAATTTAATCTTTAATCTCGGTCCCATTCTCGCATTTCTGAACCTGTGAATAAAGTTTTTAAATGGTTTTATACAAAAGATCAAAGCATCTATAGATGATCTCAGTGGCCATGGCTAATTAAAACTAATAGTTCACAGATCTGCACTAAATTTAATATTTTAGTCTGAATTCCACTCAAACAGATTAAACTGTTCCACAGGAAGTTTGACATCACTTCATTTGTGTAATTCATTATTATTTTTAAGCAGTTATTCTACGTCTGGCCTAATTTTTTATCTGTTTTTTGTACAAATAGTTGCCAGCAGAGTAAAAATAGCACATCTTTGAATTTTAACATCAAATGTCTGAATCTGCTGAATGATCAGAGGAAAGAGTTGGGTTTTATTCCTGCCATCTCCTCTTGTCGCAGCTAAAGTCACGGAGTAAAAAACGACAGAGTCAACAGCGTCTGCACAAGCAGGAAGGTTCGTGCAACGCTCAAGATGAGCGGAGACAAAACCACGAGGGCTCCAGTTAGAACGTTAAGTTTGGTGGAACTGAATTAGATGCATTCTTAATTGTGCATTTTTTAAACAATGTTAAATTATTCAGAGTTTTTGCAAGAGTTAGCTGAAAGCATGAGTTTAAAATGATATTATCATCTTGGTGTGCACTGTTGTTTAAAAAAAAACAACTTTTAATGCTAAAACTTGAGGTTTAGAATCAGAACATGTTCTTGCAACAGCTGCACATTATTTCTAATGATTGCATTATACACAGAACATGAACACAAATAACTGGTGTTGAAAGAACAACAATAATAAAAAAAAAAAGATTAATTATTTAATTCCAGCTAGCACAAAAACAACAACTTCTTTAATCCCACTTGTATACAAACTGTATATTCAGGTCTGTCTTGTAAATGAGTCCACGAGGCTCAATGGGATTAAAGTGTAGAAATAAAGGTCGGACACTCCCACCTTTATTTTACTTCCATACCCACATCTGTACAAGTGTAATCAGTCTTATCAATAACAATATCTTATTAGTAGCTTTTAGATTTGTTTTCCAATAAGTTGAACTGACAGTGTTGTGAACCTGTTTCCTTTACACATCTACAGATATTTTAGTTTTTTCTTTTTGGTTTGTGAATATTGTACAGTTCCTGCAGAAGCTCTGCAGACAGGTGAATCATCACTGGATTACAGGAGTTGTTTGCTTACAAACCTGACATTTCTATGAAAATGTCAGAGATTATAAGTAAAAACATGACAGCTGAGGCAGACACGTGGTGACAGCGTTAAAGGGATCGAGGTGATTCATGTCGCTGCACATATGAGTAACAAATATCTGTGGACGCAGCAGAGATGGTCACATGAAGGGACAGAGTTATTCTTGGTCTTCATTTGTCTCGGGGCACAAACAAACCTCCAGACTGGAACTGTCCAACTTTCACTTTATACTTGAAGGAAGACCGTTTCTTTTTCTCAAGGCATCACCCTTTACTTCACATTTTGTGACGTTTTTGGCCTTTTGTTTACATCCTCGCTCCAAAACAACATGATGCACGTTGTCTTGACAACAAAACATGCACGCTCAGTCATCCAAGACCAATTTGTTCCAAACATTCACAACTATAGGCACGTGCATGCTTTGTCAACATAGTGGATTATATCTATAAATCATTCCTCAGCCCTGAAATAGTGCAGAAACCTAAACATTTAGTACTTTTTATAAAACTATGTGCTTTCATGTAAGTGTGTGGGGTACCTGTCTGCGGGGCCTCCTGGCCTGACGTAAGTGACGACTAAGGGGCGGGACTTGTGCCAGTCTTCATGGGTACCACCTGTATGAGGAGCAGAAGAAGGAAGCTGTTCACACACTCACATAAAATGACAAATATTTTTTCAACCACTGTTTTATTTCAGATAAAAATCTGAATAATGCTCTAAAACTGAACGATTATCCCTGGTTACTTTTTTTTATTTTTTTTTTTGTAAAAAATCTAAAAAAAAGGCATGCAGCTTGATTTTTTAAGTTTTTTTATTCATCCACATTTTATTTTCTCTGATGGATATTTGTCCATTTTTAGTTTAATTTACTTCAGGCTACACCACAAAAACATTAAAAATTCCACATATAAAAAAAAATGTAGTAACGTAAAGAGTTTAGCTAAATTGTCAAAATTTGAATTCAGTGGTTTAGATTTGTTACAAAGCTTTATAAATTGACTATAAAAACAACTAAACAACAGTTTTGTACAATTATCGGAAATATATAATTTGAATGTAGACCTGGAACAAAATACCCTTAAATTAAATATAAAAATCCACAAAACCTCAAGACCTGCAAAGAAAAGATTAACATACTCCATCCATCCATCCATCCATCCATCCACTTTTCCTTTAGGGGGTACAGGGAACTGGTGCTAATCTCCAGGACTCATTGTGCAAGAGGCAGGGGACAGCCTGGACAGGTCTCCGGTCCATCACAGTGTAGTGGACTAGGCCCATGTCAAAAACTAAGTCTAAGGTCAAAAATCTTGACCTTAAGAACCTTGTGGGACAGGGACTGTCATTTCATTGATTTGAATCCAGAAATACAGGTTCACCCATCCTGAGACTTTCTCTCTTGAAGATTCAATGTGAAAGAACACTCTCTTTTTTATTATCATTACTATTTTACAAATGTTGATAATCAAAATGTCTTAGTTCAAACCATTTTAGATGTTGCAGTGAACTAATCAATTTTATTAACTGTGTAATGATTTTTATTCTCGTGCAAAGTTAGAACTCATGTCAAAGCTGTTACAGAGTAATTATGCCTTTTCTGATTTCTACTTTTGAATGAGCAAGTGTACGTTGGTCCAAGGTTTTAGTCAAACGCAAAAACAAGTTGTTGGAACGAACTGTCATGTTTTTAGAATCCTCTCAGACATAAATATAGAGGTTTTTGCACCTGTTTCTGAAACGCGCCAAAACAAAACTCTCTCTGTCTGTGAGAACATTTCTGATCTGTTTCATAACAATTCTCGCTGTCTCTAACCTCTTACGTCACAAAACACACCCCGTCTGGTCGTTTCTGACCAATGAACAAATCCCAAAAGTGAACCGGGAAACAGCTCTTTAAAATGTCAGTACTTCCTGGTCTACTCGGTCTTGGTTCTGTTGAAGTTCTGATGGAGTGCTGTTGGAGTTCTGCTGGATACACAGTCCAACCAGTTCTGTGAGAGACGGGATGATCCTGACAACAGAGCTCTTCCGAGTTCCATGGGATTATAACATTTTCCACTGAGGTGAATATGTGTCGAACAGAGCCTCGCCATTACTTCGGACGAGTAACAGCATCCTACTGAGACGCTGAAAGGGTGCGTTAAACGGAATCTCACCTGAGACATCTCCAGGTAAAGGAGCCGATTTCATCACCTAAGTGTACTGTAAGGAAAAGCTGAAGAAAGCCGGAGAGTGTCGATTCTGGTGAACACATTTCACCCCTCACACACCATCTTACTCCCTCTAAACTTCTTTCCATCTTTAAACTTTTCTATCAAGTAGAAATTCTTCCAGATATTTAGAAATGTCTGTGTAAAATGCTCACCCACATTCATGTGGGTAAAGGATCATAATTGTACAGTTTTCATAAATGTCTGTGGTGAAGCAACGGAAAAATCATGGCCGTATGATTTTTCCTGATTGATTGCTTATGTTGTTATTTTCATAATTTGCCAAATTAATGTAAATGTTTGATGTTAAACTTTGATTCTGTAAATAAATGACCGCATTCATTTTGATGGGTCAAACGTAAATGACGTCTCACGTTTGCATTTCCTTAAATTCAATGCACGTTTTATTCAGTCCAGAAAAATGAGGAATCCGTGTTAAATGATGAATATATCTGAGCATCTGTTCATCTACAACAGGGACAGCCTGGACAGGTCTCCAGTCCATCACAGGGACAGCCTG